AAATCATAAGCGTGTCGTGGTTTTATATGTGATAAAAAATCATGTAAATTTACATAAACTTTAGCTTTGATTTTCTCGGTTTAGACAAAGTTTATTTTAAAAATTACTTCGCCAATGAACTCGTATAAGATGTCGTTTTTGAAGCCTACGCGGAGTGTTTTATATGTGATAAAACACTCCTACGCGTGCTTTAAATAGTGGCCTACTTAAAAAATGAGCAGCCGATCTTTATCTGATATATACAAACTCGACCCGAGGGCGAAACGTTTCGACCCATCTTATGAGTTCATTGGCGAAGTAGTTTTAAAAATAAGCAGTGTCTAAGCCGAGAAAATCAAAGCTGAAGTTTATGTAAATCAGGACAAATCTTTATCCAATTTACAAACATTGATTAAACATTCCTTTCTTTTGTATTTTACTGATGAATTATAAAATGCGTTTTTTAAGTACTGTTTAATAAACGAACAGGGAGTGTTTTATTAGGTTTAAAGATACGAGCGTGTAGCACGAGTAGTTTCAGACCTAACAAGACACGAGCTTATTGAACAGCTTCAAACGCAACTTCATTAGTATTGCATGCATGTTTATATAAATTAAGAATACTACGTAGGAGAAGGTTTTATATAAAGAATACTAATGAGGAATGTTTTATGAGGTATAAAGTCACTGCACGTGACGCATTATCAGTGATTTAACAGACTAAAAGCTTATGAATTGTTAATGATATTTAAATAGCACAATAAAAGGTAGTTTTTAACAGGCAATTAAGGTACGCTCGCACGATTACGCATAACACATTGTTGTATGAATATATAATGTTAATAATATAATGAAGAATTAGCAACGAGGCATTCGCGATTAGTTGTTTCGAGCTTCACACCCATGTTTTCCCACATTGTGTGGTCGGTTTTGCTTTTATGGCTGCTTGTTACGCTTCATGTTTCGTCCACGTTGATTACATCACCAGTACTAGTACTGGTTCGAGGAACTGCGACCATCCCTTCTGCTTCAGTTTTTTAGTGTAGGTTCATTCCCCGTTTTCTTCCGGGTGACATGTCTCGATTGGTGATGGAGGAGGTAATACGACCATAATGGAATTATTAGGACACATTTATTTCCATGTTCGTATTGTATGCAATTAAACCAATTAGATTCCGCAGTTTACCAAATAATAATCATTTGCATACCTATGCATAATCATTCTAGTTTACGGGTATTAAAATATTAGTATCTATCCATATTGCCATTCAACCATATATTTTTGAGTACGGTATAAACAAAGAGGACAACTCCAACAAGCAAGTTTTTTTTTCTCAGGTAGGCATTTGATTCTCTTGTTATTGACAAGGGTGGATTGACCACAGTAGAAAAATTCTTATAGTTTGCTACAACTACTGGCCTTATATATTTCGATTTACCGATCGACTGTTTCAAACATGTAGCCAACTTTCCGCTATTTCGTTGCAATCCCGCCACCATGCACATTTGCAATTAACAGTGATACAAGAACTAAAGCAGCTAAAATCGTATAATCAACCGCAACAGTACAGTTAAATTAAACAACATTCTCTGCTCGTATACGTTAACATAGCGTATCGAGTATTTCAATTCGTAGCAGAGACATCAGTGGCAATAATATGTAGATAGTCTGTCTGATAATTCAACTGTATGTGAACCACCTCTGACATCAACGCGGCATTTAGGTAGATAATTTGTTTGAGATAGATAAACTTGTGCACGCAGACCACCTTGAAGGATGCGTGGCCCGTCTTTGTGTATAAGCACGTGGCCCGTCTTTGTGTATAAGCACAGTATAAGACGAGCTATCGGGGAAACCTGGCTGGCTAATTCTTGGCTATAAAATAATCGTATCGTTACAGTGTTAAAACAAGATCGTGGCACTGACCACTGGCAATATGAGAAAGTTAGAGTCCTGTCACACTGCACTAACAGACGAAGCTGACAATAACTCTAATACGCTCCAGCACAGTACACAATACTTTTAAGAAAGGAACTCAAGCTAGAAACATTAATTAATTAAATATTCGTATTCCCCATTTGTAGCATAGATAGTCTCAGATTTCATACCACCTACTTAAGTTTAGCGTCCTTTATAGAATCATTTGTATACACCCGTCGAACGCTATACTGATAGCCGAAAGCTCCTAGAAATAAATATTAAGTTAGACAACGTTCAATAAATAAAAAAAAACATTATATCTTAGGTACTGTTTATATGATCCGTGGCATTTTTATTCCCTCTTACTAACTGTAGTTGATTCGGTTCAATCATTCAGGTTTTTGTGCAAGTGAGGATAGCCCTCGCTTCAATTTAAATCGATCTCGAAGTATGTCAAATGTGAACGGCCCCTAATACGTTCGCTTGAAACAACAAAAATAACGCTAATTTCTGGGAAAAGCGATATATATTACTAATATTTTTATTGATGAAAAAGTTTAGCGAAGTTCTTAAATTGCTTCAAGAAAAAGTGGGTTTTTATCAACATTTTTCTGTAGATAGGCGAGAATGCAAATTGACAAACATCATTACGACGATACAGAAATTCCCAAACTTCCGATAAACCTCACTAATTTTACACTATATTTGTATTCGTGATATTGGAGGTGCAATTATTTCACTCCGCTATATATTTATACACCAGACACATGCACAGCATGACGAATGTCCCAAGTACTTTGATTTTGAATGAAACAAAGAGCCCCAATCAATTAATTAATAGAAGAACTGATTTGGATACAGTCGATGGAAAAGAGATTATTGATCCAGCCTATTTGACATTGTCGAACTTGACTTTTTCTCTAAAGGTACGACCAAAACAACCTCCAGGCTTTATCGAGGGCAGTTTATTTGTGTGAACTGCGCCAACTATCACAATGATTTGAAACTATATTTTACTAATCCGCCCAATGAAAAAGTTTACAATAACGAACAAGATATAGTTTTTACATGAAATAGGTTAGGAGCCCACTGGAAACCTAAAGGTTTCTATCAGTCAAGGTTATTATTCAAAGGCTTTTATAATTAAATTTTATAAAGTTTTAATTAAAAAACGCAGATTTTGCCTTGTCTAGTATAATACATATTTTAGAATGTTAGGGTTTGTAATCCAAGTGATTATATACATTTTAAGACCTGACCAGGAACGACTGCGAAAAATGCAGCACAAGGTCCTCTGGTAGGAATTGAACCTACGGCCCTGCGATTCCGGTGCAGCGCTCTAACCAACTGAGCTACAGAGGCCAGCTGTTGAGCTGTAACCGTAAGTTCATGTATATATAGGTAATCGGGTGTGCGGGTTGTGATAAGGTGGACTTGAATGATGATCATTCAAGAGAGAATAATTAACATCAATCGCCTGATCGCCTGATGATCGTACGCTGTACGAACACTGTGTAGCGATGAAATAAAATTTTAAGATTGAAATTTGTTGTTTATGTCTTTTTATATATATATATATATATATATATATATATATATATATATATATATACGCATTGCCACGGACGTTTTATTGTCTTTCACTGAGTAGTAGGGAATGGCGGGTTCTGGGACACTAGGCTAGTACTTCATGTTATACAAATTATAGTGGATTTACCACCACTGCGCACCTCGTACGCGCATCTGATGATGTCATAGATCACGTGACCACCACGTGACCACCCCCACCTATAACGTTACCACACCCGCGCAAACCCCGCCACCCCCCGCCTTGGGAATGCTTCCGGAAGTCTCGCCAAAGCCTCCCACAAGTCTCGCCAAAGTCTCCCAAAAGCCTCCCAAAAGTCTCCCCAAAGCCCCAACCAAAGTCTCCCCAAATTCCCACCACTCCCGCCCTGGGAATGCTTCCATAAGTCTTCCATTGCGTATATTTTGGATCGCGTGACCTATGACGTCACTTCCGGTTGAAATTTCCGCTTCTGAAAAAAATTTTTAAAAAAAGTTTTCTATATAATAAAAAGGGTATCATTTCCTTATCTTGTCCACAGACCCTGGAACCTTGGACCAGACATCTTTCCTATTTTTAAACCCTTTGGGTTTGGAAAAAGCTGAGTAAGCACTTTTGGAAAAAAAATTTTATAAAATTTTTCTGTATAATAAAAAGGATCCCATTCTCCCAGGTCCGGCGGACATAAGTCCTGGAACAAGTTGCCATTCTTATTTTTAAACCCATTGGGTTTGAAAAAAGGCTGAGTCAGCATTTCTAAAAGTGTTTCGGAGATGTTGGACTTGGACTTGGAGTTAGCCTGTTTTCATTGTTGTTCCAAACCTTATGGGTCTGGAAAACTGAACAGACTTTTGAGTCATACCGGAGGTAAAAAAAAATTTAAAAAAAATTTATCCATATAATAAAAAAGATGTCCATTACCAAAGTTTCAGACTTCTCCAAAGACTCGTTCGCTTTCGAAGATGCCGTCGGAAACAGTTACGGGTCCGAAAAGGTCGGATGAACGGCACGAGACCAGGGTCCACTCCTACTAGAACTTGAGGATTGCTTGTCCTACGGAGTGAGCAAGAGCAACAAGTTCGGTAAGGTTAGTTACTCCATCTCCCTAGCCCTGAGGGATAACGAGGAGTTTGTGTCAGCCCTGAAACTGGTGGAAAGGGAGTCCGCCGATCATGTTGGTAACCCGGGTGAAAACATCATGAAATGTCTTTACCGGAAAGGCAGAACTCCAACCCTATACGTAAAGATCGACGATGAAACGGAGATCTACCCTCCGAAAGGGGACGAACCCGTAGACCACAAAAAATATCAGGACAAGAGGTTCCGCCTTGATGCGATCGTCAAAATCGAGAGCATCTATGTGTCCAGCAATGTAACCTCCATCCAGGTGAAGCTGCATGAGGCAAATATATTGGAGGAAAAACCCAAAGCACCAAGGAAGAGACTTCTACGACGACGGGATTAGTGGAATACAGAAACCAATTTTAACGTTCGTAAGAATATTAAAATTTCTGGTTTAGAGGGCATCAATACCGCTGACGGGTAAGCTGTTTTTGTACTCAGCAGGCATAACCGATCGATCACTCCACTGTATCCTGAACAGCTTTCCCATACCATAGGAACGGGCACGTAAGGACGGTATGGAAAACACCCACGACTCTGCGGAATCGTTGGGTCGTCCCAAATTAATACCGAACTCCGGACCGTCCAGCGTGAAGTTGTCTATTTCCGCAAGCGTTGCATCCTCCGGTACGTTGAGAAAAACGACAACACCTATCGGCGGACCGGAAGGAATTGCGTTCGTACCCATAATTATAGCGCCCGCTTCTCCTACGAGCTAGAACCTGGTGTCAACTTCCCAACCGGTTCCTTCGTTCAGATAGGTAAAACCGGCGTCGTTAAGGGATGTGCCCTCACACATTTCCGTTATGAACTCCATCATTTCTGCGGAACATTCGAAGTACAATTGGACTTTCCTGTAGGTATTCATTACCTTTTTATTATATAGAAAAAAATTTTTTTTAAAATTTTTTAAAAAAAACCCTGCTGACTCAACTTTCTTTATTCTTCCTTTTCCGAACAACCCACCCTTGTACTGATAAGATGTTTTCCGACGGTAATTCCACCACTTAGTATTCCTATGAGTGGGATGTACGGTGTTGCGTAACCGACGAGGTTTTTTATGTCTTTCTTGAGCAGATCGTTTTCCTCCAGTTCTTTTTTCATCCCTTCAGCATCCTTAACAGCGTCCAGCGCCTCCATGAGTTCGGAAAACTTATTATTAATGGTTTATTATAAAAATCGTCGCGCTCGATGAAAGCGAATTGCGAAATTATTTACAAACTTTAGTTAAAAGTATTAAAAAGTACCTTGTGTTACTGGCATTATATTACAACAATAGTTTACTGATCTATGAATTAATATCGAAAGAACTTTTAAATTTACAAAATTTACAAAATTTATAAATTATGTGATTGAATGCACATAGTAGGAAAAAAGCTTTTCTTAAAGCGCTCCGTCTTACAAGGAAACAGTGTTAATCTATTTCCGTACCTTAAATTACAATTGTGTCCATTGGCCCGAGAAGGTGGTATTAAATGGTTAAGGCGTGAATCAGGCTGTCTGATTTTGTCAAAAGTTTTTATGCACAAACCATCACGTGCGTCTTGCGCGTAATGTCGAACATTTAGCTTGGTCCAGAGCAGCGTCATAGCTTAATGTGGGGTAGATTATTCGCATTGTGCGCTTCTGGACCCGTTCAATTTTATCTGACAAGTTAATGGTCAATGATGAATGCCATACCGGACAGCAGTACTCAAGCAGGGATCTAATAAGGGCAAAATGTACTCGTAGTAAATGAAACGGTGAAACTCCACTGCGCTTGAGAACTCGTAAGATGTGTAGTCTTTTTGATGCTTTGGTTACTATCTCACTGATATGCAAATCCCACTTCAGATTATTCTGGATCGTTAAACCCAATACTTTGTGGGATTCTATTCTTTCAAGACTAATGGTTTCAACAACTAAGGTGGGTGGTGGCTGCTCAATATCTCGTCGAAAGGAGACAATCATCTCTTTACACTTTTTGGGGTTCAATTTCATATTATTGGTACTTGTCCAATTACCAATTGCGTCCAATTCGTTTTGTAGTATAGATACCTCCCTTGTTGGAACAATCTCAGATATCGTCACGTCGTCTACGTACTTCCAATTACTGGAACGCGGGGATACTATTTTCAAATCATTAATCATTATGACAAAAAGGATTGGACCCAATTTGGTACCCTGTGGGACCCCAGCATTAGTTGAAAGCCATCGGGACACGCACCGTCCCAGCTTAACACACTGGCGGCGATTTGAAAGGAAGCTACAAATCCAAGGGATTATTGAACGGCGCACTCCCAAATCGATCAATTTTGTTATAACAATATTGTGGTCTATTCTATCGAAAGCTTTGCTAAAGTCCAGAAAGCAAGCTCTAAGGTAATGACCTGGGTTGTCCATTTTAGAAAGCCAGTTGTGGATAAGATCTAGAAAAGGCAAAGGGTGGTAGATGTTCCCTTCAGGCTGCCATACTGCCATTGGTGATGATAACGTCGGCTAGTTGGTTGTTTGTGTTTTCCAGACGTTGTCTTTCGTAGTCTTTGTATATATTTTCCAGCGTCTATTCGGATGCTTTTTTGATATATTTTGAAGCGTACTTGATTTCACCCGCATCGACCAGTTTCAGTAGCTTTTCCCTTGGATCGCTTGCGACAGGTGTCTCAGGCTCTACAGATTCGAATATGGTTTCCATTCCTTTATTTAATATGCGGAATAATTGTTTTGTGGGTATAAGGTCGACGTAATAGTATTTCCAACCTGGCGTAGTCGTTGTTTTTTAGCGTATTAATGATTTCCTTCCTTTCTTCTTTTTCCGTGTTTGCAAGGTAGTCGTTCAATATAATGTCCGTATCCTTTGCGCTCGGGTTATAAAAGGTTACGAGTTTGGATATATTTTCCCTATAGGGTTTTGCAATGGATGTAAGCTGTTGGGTAATGACAATGGTTGAGATTCCCATATGTCTAGCGCTAAACCCGAGTTTTACCAATTCGCTGGTTCTGTCTTTGACGGATTGGCTACTAGCACAGTCATCAAGAACGATAAGGCTATTTGTTCCTTTTGCAAAATGCGAAACGTATTCTAAACACTGGTTTACATCATCCTGCTTGCAGGGCATGGCTATAAAGTCCTTATCCATATTGTATTTCCAGTCCTGGTACGTTTTGTTCCATTCATATGTGGGACATATCAGAAATATGTACTCGAAGTGGTTTTTATAGTCGTTCTCCAACATTTACAGTAGGTAGTAGGTTTTTCCGGTCATTCCGAGAATGATCAGTGGCGTAGCTAGCGGTCCTGCTTGTCCTGCCCAGCAGGACTAAAAATTTCCCCAAATTTCCTTACTAAAACATTGCTTTATTTCTCTTGAAGCTTTAAAAATTTATCATTATCATATTGTTATTTTGTCTCATTTTCTCGTCTTTTTCATTATTATTTTTTAAAAAGTTTTTCGCATTGTGTTATATTTACGCAATTTCACTGCTTGCCGGGTCTGTTACCTAGCAACTGCAATTCTACATTGTTTTACACGCGCTCGTGTTTCAGTCCTGCCATTTTCAAATGGCAGGACTTGCTAGTATATTTCATAGTAAACTCATACAAGAAATCTTGGTTTCTGATTGGATAATTAGGTCTGCGCATGCTCAAACCAACTGTTTACAAATGCGAAGTCCTGCTCTCTCGAAATGGCAGGACTTGGCCTTGTATTGTCTTTACTTGCGAGCTTTCCGCGTGACTAAACACACTTTTTACTAATTCCGTCGAGATTACTCAAGATATGAATATGGAAATCAACGAGTGTGGAAGCCCAGTGTGATTTGGATATAATTTCTGGCTTCTGCTAAGATATTTTAGCTCACGAAATGCATGTGAACAGACTCGACTGATGATTGTGTATTTTTATATTGATACAATATAATGGGGAATACAAACTTCATTTGTGAAGATTGTCGTATTGATATAAAGTAAGAACGTAATATTTACTGCCAGTTCATCTGCTTTGTGCATTTGAAACGAGCACTTATATGGAGTTTAATTTTTAAAATGATATACTGTGTACCAATTCACACTGTTTTAAATGTAGATATTTGGCCGCATACACTATATTATTAAAGTGCCCCTGTCACAAAATGAGAGTTTATATTTTCGAAATCTATGATACGAAATATACGGAAATTCGAAAACGGAATTGAAGTTGCTTTTTTAGTGTAAAAGTTATTGCCGTTTAAACATTGAATTTGGCCTTGTGAAAAATCTGAAAACCGCGCAAAAGGGACTGGGACTAAACAATGCGTGTGACGTAATAGTAGGAACTTATGTAGCTCACTAATATAGAAATACTATTGCATGTACTATCATAGAGGAGGCAATAGCGCAAATAAAAGTCACGAAACTGAAAAATTGCCGAATATATGTGTAGTAGGCGGTTGTTCTAATGTCACAGATACAGAGTAAGGCATTTCACTTCATTTTATACCTTTTACTGGAGACGAGAGGCCCGAAGCGAAAAGGACACGGATTGACTTCGTGCACCTTACCTTAAACCAGCAATATGAGATCCAATGTTCAGCATACCTTGCGAAGATAGAGAGCTTGCTGGTAAAACCACGTACGGTTAGCTACCGACGAAATTGGTTTTGTTGCAATTCCAAAATTTACAAATACTGTCGACGACAAACCTTTGTCTGCGAGAGTCAAGAGAATGGTATATGTATAATTTATACTCTAATTTCGTTTATCATGCACTTGAATATGGCCTAGTGCAATTTTTGTTCCAAATTCGTTATTTTGAATAGGTTGTATTTAGAAGTTGCTTCGATGCAGTCAACCGATATGGTCATGGTCACGAAACTGGAAAGCGCGATAAATATAAATGAGCCACAGCCAATGGATTCACCAGAAATATAAAATATCGCGACAATATAGCTATGACTATGAGTGAATATGGTCAAAATATAGCTGATGAAAGCCAATTTCTTACGTCTAGAAGCAATGTGCACTGTTTGTATTTTAGTTTAGACAGGGAAAGTAGAATTGTACGTATAAGTAAACTTGACGCAGTAAATTATACATATACACACTCATTGTGTTTGCACCGCAGTGCAAACCCGTACACTATGCAGATTTTGTAACAAATTGTGGCATGAAACCAGATACACTGCGGGGGTGTATAGAAAATGTATTACAAAGTATAATCCATTGAAGCAACTTAATGAAATAACTTAGTCATTGCCACATTTGCTATAGTATAAGGCAGTGCCTGGAACGAAATACAAGTCAGAAAAATTCCTAAACGTGCTGCAACACTTTGTACAAATTAACCCGCGCGCATGAAGTGCAGAAAAACATCAGATACAAATCTTAATCTCAAATTTCAGTCTCTTTGGCAAAACAATATTGAAGTCATGAATATAGCAAATGTGCTGTTTCTATACGCAATACAGTATAATATTACCACGTTTATACAGTGTAATAGGTTTATTTATTGAAAAATAGTTATATAATATCAAGAGCTGTTCTCTACAAATCTACAAAGTCTTCATCAACAGCAGGCATTATTTTCTCATATGCGCAAAAATGTTTATTTCCTAGTTGTCCATAAACCATCCACACAAAGTTTCTATATGGTGTGCTCCTTCAGAATCTATAAATTAATAAATAAGTATTTTTAATAAGTCGCTTACTTGCATGTGAACACATGTAAATATATAATAATTCAATAATTGTACAGTATGTACCGTATATATACTCTCAGTTACCGTACCGCATGCGTGTGTTCACTGATAGTAAACTCGGGTACGGTAAAGTGTTTCTTAATTTCAATATGTTGATAAATAAAACTTTATTTACCTATCTTCTGTGCTTGTTGACGGTATTCCTGTTTCTTTCTTGTTCGTAATTTCGTGGCTGCTGAACGGAGAGCTGATGCACTTATCTGGCCATAGCTGTTGAATTATACATGATGGCGCGACTCGCCGACTTCAGCTTCTTGCATCACAAATCACAATGTCACTGTGTAGAGAATCGACGCACTCCTCAATTTCCATACAACATTGACACTCTTTAGCATAATTTTACAAAGCAGTTCAATGCGACAATTGCCACGTTTACACATGAAATATTATAGTTTGTAATTTACAACACAAGGTCAAGTCACGCA